CGGGAGCGCCGCCGCGCTTCCCAAGTGGTGCACTTATCCAGTGCGCCACCGGGCCGGCCCCGCAATAGTTGATTTTAATGTTAGCAGTTTATCACTGAAAGTTAAATATGGATTTATTGGTGGGCAGGTATAATACTACACTAATTATACCTTTTTTGGTGTAGTTAGTGTAGAATGGAAAATATTCTTGTTGTCACCATGGGCAAGTAAAAAGAATTCTGATAGTAAATACTTAAATCCCCTAGTAATAAGTTATGGTTGTTCAGAGTTACTGATGATAGAAAAATATATCCCTTGAAGTTAACTGGAATAAAAACCTACCACCGTAACAAAAAAAATTGACTTTTGCATGACAATTTATTAAATATTTGAAGGGAAGATATACCTTTCCATCCTTCTAAAAAGGTCTTGTTTCTTTTCAGCATATGGGTTTCTCACAGGATGTGGCTTTTTAAGGCCTTTCACCACTCTGCTACTTTCCTGCATTTATTCTAGTTTGACAGCATCCCTCTTAAAAATGTGATGACTAGAGGAGGGAGGGTTGAATAGGTAGAGCACAGAGGATTTTTAGGCTGCAAAACCATTCTGTATAATACTGTAATGGTGAATCTGTACATTAGGCATTTGGCAAAACCCATAGAACTACACAACAAAAGAGAGTACCTTAATGTGAAATTGAGTTAATAATGATTTATCAATATTGGCTATAATTGTAACAAATATACTGCGCTAATGTAACATGTTAATAATAATAGGAGAAACTATGTGTGTGTTGGGGTTGGGGGGAGTTCACAGGAGCTATCTGTATTTTCTGCTCAGTTTCTCTGTAAACTTAAAACTGCTATGGAAATAAATGCTCCAGCTAGAATACAATGCTCCAGATGTATTCTTATTACTGTAGGATATGGTGAGAGATTACCTTCCCGTCCTAAGACTATTTGTTTAATAATGTGGTCCAAGATAGCATTTGCTTTTTCAATAGTTATGGCATAGGAATATTTCATTGAATTTTCAGCACACTAAACTCCCCAGAACTTTTCTTCACTAATTGTTGTTAGGTTTTTGTCTGTGAAGTCATGTGGATTTTTTTAATTGCCTTTTAGAAAATTCAGTTGATTGATGAATTTTGCTTCATTCCTCCTGTTTTATTGCTTGTCAGATTTGACTTAGTTGTTCTTTTTATATGTTATTTCTGCATTTCACCATATTAACTTGTTGATCTTTATTGTAATAATCAAATTTGTTGTGTTTATCTGAATGGTTAATGAAAATGTT